GCTCAACTTTCATGGATATAGCTCGGATTCGAGTATAATGTGTATCTAGTAAAAAATAAGGCACTAGCAAAAAGATGGTTTTCTTTCTGACGCTAGAAAAAAAGCTACAGATGGTTTTTCGCCCTGAAAACCCAACTATTTTCGAGATTTCTGAAATGGGCGATGGAAAAATGCCCTCTGAAAATACAATGTAAGTATTAAATAGGCGAAAATAAAGTAAAGAAAATAAAAATTGAAAAATTTTATGGTAAAATAGTATAGGTATACATGAATTTTGGTCTCCACTCAATATATAAGCCCTATTTCATTAAATTCTCAAAAAAAAGCCAACATTGTGCCAATGTGTTTTAAGTTTTAAGATGAAATAGTGAAAATAAAAATTTCAAATTCATGTAATACATGTACATGAATTTTGGTCTCCACTCAATACATTAAATTCTCAAAAAAAAAACCAACTTTGTGCCAATGTGTAACCCCTGAGGAAAAAACCAATCCTGAACCCAATTCTGCCATCAAAACTCAGCACAAAAAAACTCGCCTTCGAACTCCTTCGAACCTCTGACTTTCGTTCTTGATTAATGAAGACATTCTTGGCAAATGCTTTCGCTTTAGTTCGTCACGCTACGGTCCACGAATTTCACCTCTCGCGTAGCGGTACGCATGCCCCCGTTGGTCCCTCTTAATCATTAATCCAATTCCGAAACCAACAGTAAGAAGCCGAAGTCCTTTTCCATTATTCCATGCAAAAACATTCAAGCGAAACGCTTGTTTTGAGCACTCTGATTTATTCAGAGTGACTCTCGCCGGAGAACCGACGAATTTAACCCCGGATCCAGTATCACACAGAGGTGAACCGTATCCAAAGGCTCAGATCCAACTACGAGCTTTTTTAACCGCAGCAATAATGACAACTGGAATTACCGCGGCATTTTCATGACCCACCTTTTTTATGGACCGCCTTGTCTACTTTATTTGCTTTTAATTTCCAATTTTCCAGTCAGGCTCGATTTTTCTCGATCTCATTTTCGGGCTCTTTTGCGCAAATCGAATCACTGTCACTCATGGGGAATTGTCTCTTCGATTTGTTGGTGTGCTCAGCATTTTGATGGTCGACGTTCGGATTCAAACAGTGAGTGAGGGTGATCACAGCTCACAAAAACTGATTTCTTTAAAAAATTCAAAATTTGAAAGCCTAACAACATGATTTAATAGAATACGAAGCTGAGGAATTGTTTCTGTAAGTGACAATCACTTGATGGGTAATCCAGCACTTGAGTAGCCCAAAAGTTACCCCAAAAAAGTGCCGCTAACCGGCGTAATACCACCGATTTTCCAGGCCAAGGCAAAGGCTTTGACACATTTAAAAAGTCGAAAAATATAGTCATCTTTTTCGCCAACACCAAGAAATGTTCGGAGAGGCGATTTGGATCTCCAGAAATGACTTTTCTGCGATTAAAACTTATTTACTAACTTAAATTCGGAATCAACGTTGAAAATTACCCCAAAAAAGTGCCGATAACCGGCGTAGTATCATCGATTTTCCAGGCCAAGACAGAGCCAAGCATTGATTTTCGTCTTGGCTTGGCTTAGATTTTCGTCTTGGCTACCATGGCTTTTGTCTTTTTCATGAAAGCCTGCCAGTTCTCTAGGTTTTGCTCTTCTTATCCGCATCCGTGATGTCCGTATCTCTTCATTCATTGTTCATTGGTGCTCTTCGAAGAATTCTCCCGGAAGATGATCGAAAGCGCATTGTTTTACGGTAAAGATTTTATCATTTAAAGCTATTAGCTTTCAGAATCGTGCTTTGGATTACATTTCTCAATGGCATTTTTTTACTTTGTGAAACAGGGATCCCAGTGTGCGTGGATCGAGGGGTAAAAAGTGAAAACCGAATCTTGATCTTGATCAAATTCAGACTCAAGTTGAAATCGATCCAATAAAACACGTGATTCTCTTGCGATTTTTCTTCAGCGCATTGCTGAATGGAGGTGCTTTTTTTTGTTGATTTAAACAACAAGATTACTGTAGTCGTTTCATCACAATAAACTCGAAAACTGAATATCTTTTGTTCCAATTGAATAATCTGAAAGTTCTTCAGTTTTTCCAAGATCAAGCTTCCAAATTCAAGCAATTCAAGATCCAAAGAAACCTTTTTCAATTCTTTCTGTAAAGCCAGCCTTTCTGTAAAGCTGTAAAGCCAGAACTAGACTTTTAGCCCATCTCAGAGTAATATTTTTCAAATTTTTGTAAAGATCGAATCTGAATCTGATGAATCTCTCTTCCAGGTACTTTGTTATTTATGTGCATTGGAAATCTATGCTTGTTTATACTTCTTTTTGTGGCCAAGAAATACTTTGATTCGCTGAAAGTCAACGCTATTGTTTCAACGGCGACCGCATCAAAGCAGAAAATGTTTTTGAAGAATTGCCTCATACAGGTGAGCGCAGGAAAATCTCTGAATTCTCTGAGTGAAACGAAATCAAGAAAAACTTTCATAATGGATAAGCTTTTCAGTTTTCACTTCCCATTTGCATCATTGGGATTCCGGTTATCGCCCGGATGATCTCCTTGTATTTCGCGGATTCGATAAGTTTGTATTCTTGATCGTTAAAGTCTCTATTAAGTGAAACGAAACTTTGAAAATCGAGGATAACTCTAACTTCAACTAGGGACTTTAACATTGAAATTTCAGTGATCAACGAGTTCGGCAATTTCTTCCAGACTTTCTATGGTCTTGTTTTCACGATAACGACAATGTCTGTCTATAAGCCTTATCGATGTTATTTCACGAATTTGATGAGCTGTGAGTGGATTGAATTGAATTGAATTGAATTGAATTGGATCGAATTGAATTGAATTGAATTGGATTGAATTGAATTGAATCGAATCGAATCGAATTGAATTGGATTGGATTGGATTGAATTGGATTGAATTGAATTACCGTAATCCAAGAGTAAGTTTGAGTGTATAGGTAGATGATAATTTAATCAAGTAATGAAATGAATGGTAAAGAAATTGGGAATCAAGGGGAATTAAACAATCAACAATCAAACCCAAGGGAATTAAACAATTCCGTTTACCGTGCAGATGCACTGAGCTATCGGCGCCTTAAGTTTAGAAGGTAGAAATCGGTCAAAGCCTGACTTCTGCTCATTTTTTTGTGCCAGATCGGTTGAACAGTAAAATGCGGTTATTCAGACTAAAGTCTACGTCAGCGGTCAGCAAAATCTAAAGGCAACTAAATCTACGAGACGAGTATCGTATTTATTTCGTATTGAAGAGCCTCATTTAGACGGAATTTTTCATTTTTTTCGGATTTTTCAGTTTTCCGAAAGCAAAATGTTCAACTTTTTCAAGATTTTCAAAGGCTTTAAATAATATTTATAGCTTAAAAGCGGTAAAAGAATGAAAAGCGGATAAAAATCAAACAAAAACCCTGATTTTTGAGCTCTTGAAAATTTGGGTACTAGGGCTAGGCACGAAAAAGGATTTTTGAGGGATTTTTTGAGGGATTTTTGGGGGATTTTGGATGAAAATCGATTGAGAATTGAAAAATAGAAGAGTTTGGTTCTTTTCTTCGAATTTTTTACAGTATTTATCAAGTAGAACAGGCTAAAAAGGTTCTTGGATCTGGGAAACGGTCTTGATAAAATATTGGGTTGTCCAGTTATGAATGCGCGTTTTTACTATTTTGTAAATTTCTCAAGATATCGAACAGATTTATATGAGTGTTATATATCATTCGAAAGTTCAAGATCTCCTCTACATTTTGGAATAAAAAACTTTTTGAATTCATTCAACTTTTTGGGAAATTGACTGCACAAAGGGAGAGGTCGTTTTCAAAAAAAAACCCATTTCAGCTTAGCTATTCCTCAAGTTTTATGGTGTAAAATAACCGCCCAGAAAAGAAAAGAAAAGTAAAGATGCTCTGAAATTGGTATATTTTTAAAAAAAAGTTGTATTGATATATCTATTGGCCAAACATCAAACGGTTAACTCAATTTGAGCGGAACCAAAACTTGATCCAAAGGCACCCTTCCATTTTTTGGCCACTCCTTCTTCTGTGCAGTCAATTTGCCCAAAAGCTGAGCAAATTCAAAAACTTTTTACATCAAAATGTAGAGGAGATCTTCAGCTTTCGAATAATACTCATATATATCTTTTTCTTGATTTCGGTATCTTGAGAAATTTACAAAATAGTAAAAACACGCATTCATAACTGGACAACCCAATATAAACAAATGAGTCTCGTAGATTTTGCTGTACTTTAGTCTGACTAACCGCATTTTACTGTTCAGCCGATGTGAGACAAAAAAAATGATCAGCAGTCAGACTTTGACCGATCTTTACCTTCTAAACTTAAGGCGCCGATAGCTCATCCCCTTGATTCTCCTTGATTCCCAATTTCTTTGCCATCCATTTCATTACTTTATCAAATTCTCATCTACCTCAAACACTCAAAATTACTCTTGGATTACGGTAATTCTAAGCACTTTTTAGAAAACTCAAGAAAGCGACTCAAATCAAGAATAAATCTTTAGGTCGAAAAGAGCCAAAGATTTTGGTTCACGTAAAAACGTCGAAAATGGAGAGAAGCACGAATTGATGCAACTAATTTCAAGAATAGTTTTAAAATTTGAATCTTACAATTTGTAATTCTCAAGATAACTTTCTTTTTTTTTTAAAATAAAATAAAACAATAAAAGTTCTTCAAAAAATTTCTTTCGCAAATTTTTTTCTTTTTCGCTTTTGATTAACAATTTATTGATCTAAAAGCTTTATAATAAAGATGAAAAAAGATTACAGAGAATAGTTTTTAAAAAGAAATAGCACTAAATGATAGTGATGGATTAAATGAAGTAGATTTAAAAGAAAGTAACATTTCTATGATCGAAATTGATACGAAATTATGACCAGTTGAGCGCGCAAGGATGGAGAAGTGTGAAGAATAAAAAAAAAGAATTCCATATCGATTTTCGATCACATTTCGAAGTCACTCAACGTCTGAAATTGCATACAAATTATGATTAATGTATGTGGCGAATTGCCACTGCTCCGCAGTCAATCAAAATTCAATACACAAGTTAAAATTCAAAGTTGATGGATAAACTACCGTAATCAGTCACTAGACGATATTCAGTTGTCCGTTTGGAGTAGCTTGTGTACTTAAAAAAACCATTATTTAAGCTTTGTTTTGAGTCAGTTGTGCGCTCCCTTTTTTATTCTTTTTTTCTATACCATTTTTTTGCGTGTTTTATTATTGAAATAGGTCCACTTTTCGCCCATCGTCAACATGCTTTCAAAAAAAAGCACTGCCGGTAGCCTTTTTCAATAGAATCCGAGACAATAAAACTCGATTGGCTTTGTTTTCAGGGGGTAATTCATGTGGGACCCATTGGCCACAACGATTCCTTTTTCCAATGAGCGGATGGTGTCGAGAAATTGTGCTCGGATCATATTTAAAGTATTCGGCTAATTCGGGCAAAGTTAAAATTCAAAGTTGATGGATAAACTACCGTAATCAGCCACTAGACGATATTCATTTGTTCGTTTGGAGTAGCTTGTGTACTTAAAAAAACCATTATTTAAGCTTTGTTTTGAGTCAGTTTTGAGTGAGCTCCCTTTTCTATTCATCCTTTTTTTCACACGCAAGTGTTGAAGTAATTGTGATAGTGCCAGGTTGCTCCAGTCTGAGCGAAGTTTGCCCTAATAAGGGAAAGTTTTGATATTGCTAAATTGTGCGTTTTCAAGACATCTACCATTGAAGCACACCGAGACAAGAAAGAAATTATAAAGGTCAAAGTATCAATATATTTCTTACAATGTAATTGCGATTTATTTGCATTTGTTTAAAACATCGCTGAACTGTCCAAAGGTGCTTTTTGTGCTCGAAAATGGAAACGCATCCTTGCTGATGCACTCAACGTTTCAATTTTACGATTTTTCCTATTGCCAACTAGAAAATGAAAAGATTCACTGTGCTAGAAGGGTTTTGTTTCGATTTTTGAGCTCAAAGTACAGCTTGGGTAGAGAAAGCACACAAAGTTCACTATCAAATGGTGAAACGTTAAGCTAGCGCACTTCAATTTAACGTTTTCTCATGACGAAACTGATCCACTTGCTTCAAATGTGTGTGAAATTATGACCAGTTGAGCTCAAAGTACAGCTTGGGTAGCGAAAGCACACAAAGTTCACTATCTAACGATAGTGAATGAAAGTTGAGCGCGCATGAATGGAGAAGTTGGACTCAAATGTTGGACTCAAATGTTGGACTCAAAGCACAGTTAAATTTCGCTATTAAGCTTGACCAAAGCTTTAAAAGCATATTAAAAAATAAAATCGATGAGTTCAATAATTACAGAACATGTAACATGCTTAGATTTACAATTGAAAGCAATTATTAGAGAGAAAGCTGGCTTTCTAAGCTCTCTAAGTTAGCAATTATTTAAAGATCTACAATTCAAAAGCAACTCAAGCAATTACCTATTGAATTGAACATTCTCCATCATTTTGCTCTTTCTGCTGTTGTTTTGATGATCGAGGAGATTGAGGAGTCTAATTTGATCTAGCAATTTGTCTAACAGTCTAACAGTCTAACAATTTGATAGTTTTCTTACTTTATTAGACCTTGCTGATTCAATCTTGAATACAAAAATGAACTTTACATTTCTTTAAGGCTTAACGATGATGAAAAACTACTTGTTGTGGCTGATACGAGGTTGCGGGACTCATTTGGTGAAGGTGCTGAGGCTGTTGAGGACGGGACGTCTGCTGCTTCGCGGGCTAATTTGATTTTGATCTCAAATTCAATCAAATTTTTCACTTTTTGCTTTTTCTGCTGCTGTTGAGGTGGCTGTGGAGCCTTAAAATTCGCGTAGATTGTCGAAATCTTCTCCGCCGCATCCAGCGCATCCATTGCCATCTCAACATATCCATATGCTGGCTGATTTGGAGTCGATGGAGTTGTTATCTTTTTGGGATTATTCTGAGAGGGTTGACCGGCTTGTTGTTGATTGATATTTCTAGAAAACAAAGGGATACAGAGGATTGCAATAAAAGCAGATAAATGGTACGGGAAACAAACAAAATTTTGCATTTTCTCCTACGAAAAACAATACTTCATGCATAAGAAATGCTGATCTAAACATTTTCATAAATTTCCAACGATAGAAACCTGATATCGATGAATGTTATAAACTATTTGAAAGTTGTAAATCTCCTCTACAAAATAGGCTAAAACGTGTTTCAATTGATCAAAGCATTGAAGAAATTTCGAGGGCGAAATGCGAGTGACCAAAAAAGGGCACTTTTTGAAAACCCCACTTTCACAAGAGTTCGGTTTTGATTATATAGTGGAAAATGAGCGCCCTTCATTCAAAATCATTCAAATATCATTCAAAATAATTAAGAATTCGAATCATTTCATGGGAAAACTTTGTTTTTGCAATATTTTTCTTTTTTCTTTGAAAAAGCCGATTTTTTGACAATTTTGAGGGTTTTAAACTTACGCTCTATCTAAATTTCTGTAAATGCATTTCCGTTAGGCTTTTTTAATCAATTGATATTTAGTTATCCTCCTTCTTTTAAAAAATCTTTAATTTTGGGAAGCTAACTCTATTTTGACCACACTAAACTTGTCCCTAAAGTGACTCGATTCGATTTTACTCGATTTTTGGTCACTCGCATTTCGCCCTCGAAATTTCTTCAATTTGCTTCGATCAATTGACGTTTTAGCCTATTTTGTAGAGGAGATTTACAACTTTCAAATAGTTTATAACATTCATCGATATCAGATTTCGATCGTTGGGAATTTATGAGAATGTTGAGATCCGCATTTCTTATGCATGTACCTAATAGTTGTACTTTCTTAAAATGTAAATTATAGTCTGTAATCGATAAATTATGGTTTAAGCAATCATAATTTTCATGTTTAGAGGAAAAACTCACTTGAAATTGAACAATTCGACCTGAATCTTTCTAGGTCGACTGTGTCCAATTTGAAAATCGGCATTGTTAAACTCGAAGACAATCTAGAAATAAATCTAATTTTTATCATCCATAAATTATTGTTTGGACACACAATTGTTGATATTATAAAGCGAGAGTTTGTTTGTGTTTCTGTTCGGCTGTTTTAGGCGGTTTTGTTTGAGAAGGTACGTGGGTCTCGTAGGAAAAAGCGGCCTCTGGAATACGGTGCGTTTAGATAGGGCGGCAGAGACTGCATTGCCCGGTTTAATTACCCAAGGTTACGATTTAATCTCCAAATGTCTTGAAAAATTAAAAAAATAAAACGCGGACGCGATAGGTGATGCAGAAATGGCCTGAAATCAAAATTCTACTTATTATAGGCCAGAGGGTGTGTGCGTCTGTCTGTTTCGTTGTTTTACAAAAAAAAACGACCAAACCAATCGATCTGAGCATTTAACTATTATATCTAAAATTTCATGTACTTTCGAAAAAATCTAATTAGTTTTGTGGGTAGATGGGCGATTTTTTGGCAAAAACGCGGTTTCTCGATTTCCCCTTATCTTTGGCCTCTGAATTTCACTTCTAGCCTGGTCTTCCTTGGGTTTGAAACAGCTCAGATCTAGTAAAAGTTGGATTTATCTATTGGTTGATTGAGTTCTATTGATTTTTTTTCGTAAAAACGCGGTTTCTCGATTTCTCCTTATTTGCTGAGTGGTTTTAATTTTGAAAAGAGTTTGCGTTTTATTTTGTTTTATTTTGTTTTATTTTATTTTTTAATTTCTAAAATGTAAATCTATTTTGTTTAACTTTAAATGATTTCTAAAATCACTAGGGTTTACTCTAGCAAAATCCGATTTCTTTTTCACAGTAGCGAAGTTGAAAAGAGATCGTGAAAAAAACGATGAATGATTCATCCTTTTTGACAGACTTTCTGAAAGGTCAAGATCGCTATAACTTATAATCAAATCTATCAAAAAATGAGTTGGCGCTTCCCCTATAACGGGCGAGGGGGATTTTTATCGGGCGGAGGGAATTTCTTTACTTTGCACCTTATTTAGACTCAGTAAATTTGTTTTATATGCTTGTTTTTACTTCTTTTTTGCTATTTTGATTCTACAACAACAGTTTATTTATCTCAAACTCAAAGGCTTCCCTTGTGGCGGGCCTGCTATTTACCTAGGCTTCGGCTCCGCACATACATGTAGAGCGGCACACGTGCCCGTCCGGTCGCAACTGCCTATGGGTATCGCGCTTTTTTTGGGTTTGTGCCTGTCGTTAGGCTCGCGCGTCAGTCAGAAAAACCACTTTGGTGGTCATTGGTTGGGGGTAAACTGTCGTATAGCCAAATCCCCGCCTTCGTTATAGAGAAAGTACCAATGAGATTCTATGAAAACAGACAACTTTCTCTTTTTTGATTTAGAAACTGCTTTTTTTTTCGATAATGCTTTAAAGGGATCTTTACGGTTAACGGCGGGGGTAGTGACTATCGGCGGGGACCAAGCTTTTGACCAACTTGCAGCCCAATTTTATATAAGTTTATGTTAATAACTTTTGATAAAACAAATAGTTTCTGAAAGCTGACGTTCTAAGCTATCTAAATCTTATTAAAACTTCCTGATCTGACGAGTTTAAGGTGCTTAACAATGAGCTGCAAGTTGGCCAAAAAATTGGTCACCGCCGATAATTGCTACTGCTCGCCGTTAACCGTAAAGATCCCTTTAAAGCATTATCGAAATAAAGCAGTTTCTAAATCAAAAAAGAGAAAGTTGTCTGTTTTTCTAAAAAGCCCTTTAAAGGCTGGTGATAAACGTGATTCATTGAGGGTTCAGGCAAATTTGAAAGTTATTTCCACTCAATTAAAAGTTGCGAATGATAAGATTCAAGTTTTTTTGATATTTCTAATTACAAAAATAGTGTTTTTCTATAAAATTGTAAATGTATTTAAATGAATTTCATTTTTATTGCTGATAACAAACCTTTTGTGCCCCATCAGCCTCTTTGAAAACGATGGTGGCCCGTCCAGTCGGGGTGCCATCCGGATTCTTGTGAAGGGTTACCCTAAAGAATTGCTAAGCATAGAGCAAGTAAAATTTTTCTAAAATTCGATAAACTACAGTTATTCAGCTCACCTTTCATAACCATTAGGGTCCATTTGAATTTTGGAAACCCCATGAAATTTGGCGACAATATCGTTGACGGTTGTCTCGAACGGGAGACCTTTCACCACAACGATATTCGTCTGAAAAAGCTCAAAATCGTTCAAAATCGATCAAAATCGATTAAAGATCGATTGTTAAACTAGATTTGCATATAAATAAAAGATTTATAATGTAAAACGTACAGCCGTTTGATTATTTTTCTTGTTTTGACCACCGGACGGGCCTGCCGCTTTCTCGGCCTTCTTCTGGCCACTGAAATTGATTTGAAATTGATTCAAAATTGATTTATAACATGTAAAATTGATTATAAGATAATATATTATAAGATAATAATATTTTAGATCTAATTAAAGTTATAGTTTTCTTTAAAATTTTCCCTCAAAATTCTTTCTTACAAAATTGCGGCGCCCATCACTCGGTCGCTATTCGGGAACTTTTTTCCGTCAAATTCGCGAACAATCTGAAAACGAATTTGCAATTTCATTTATGAAATCGTAAATTATCAATCTATTCTTGTTTATTTTAAATGAAAATCCACCTTTTGAGCGTCCTGATCAGTCACAAAAGTGATTTTCGCGAATTTAAACTTTGCATTCGCGCCAGCCGCTTGAAAATCGATTCTAGAAGAGTTTTTTGTTTCGAAAAGAGTAAAGAAGTCACTCTTTTTCCTCCTTTTTTCCTTCAAAAACTCACTTATTACGTCGATCTCCAGGATTTTGAGCTATTTGTGCTCTTTGATGAAACATAACCACAAGATCGCTCTCCGTTGTCTCCAAGGGGAGATTTCGAAGGAAAACAATGTTACCGGGAAGGCTTTTCTGAGAGAAAATTTGATCATTTAAGCCTAAATGTTGAAGTTTTAGATAAAAATCTCAAAAACTATTGAGTTATTCGATTGAAAGAGACGAATAGGTTGATGAAAAGCAAGCTAAGTCTCTGCTTAACACGCTCACGAGGTTTTTCTTTGACTTTTGCCTCAGTGATTTCCCTTTCAGCTCGTCTAAAAACGTTCACAGGCGAAAGATTTACTTAAGTAAAGAGTGAAAATGAAGAGAAATGTTTACAGATCATTTTTCTGGAAATTCTTTATAAAAAATATTGACTTTAGAGTAAGTTATGAAGCTTTGAATGGAAATTAGTTCAAATTGAATGCAGTTTCCCCAGATCATCGATCCGGTCCGGGAAATTTCTCATCCTAAAACATCCAGAACTTTCTTCAAACACAAGATTTCTTTATTTCTCGTCATTTTCACCCTTTACTTAGGTAAATCTTGCATTTGAAACGTTTTTAATAGAGTTCGGCAAACAAAACTAAAACCAAAACAGACCAAAACCAAAACCAAAACCAAAAGAAAACCAAAAGAAAACCAAAACTCAATTTGCATATAAATTAACATGTAAATTTTGTAAAATGCAAATTTTAATGTTTAATTTTAAATTGTAAAATGCAAATTTTAATGTAGAATGCAAATTTACCTTTCACTTTTTCTCACTCCCCAAAATCTCGCGGCCGAAAAAAGGACCAAAACACGACCTCGAAATTTCGAAACAAAAAATAGCATATAGGATAGATTTTTGGACGCTGATTTCAAATCTGCAATCAGATTTTCGCTAGCTCCTCCCAATCGCGAGATATTGGCGAGTTTTGGTTAGTTTTGGTTTTGGTATTGGTTTTGGTTTTGGTTTTGGTTTGGTTTTGGTGGTTTTGGTTTTGGTTAAGTTTTGTTTTCCGAAGTCTAGTTTTTAAAGCTTTTTGAAAATTGAAAAATAAAAGCTCGAGGCTTCTATTAGAATAATTGCGGTATAATCTTAATAAAGAATATAATCTGTGATAGTTACAGTAGTTTTCAAAAGCTGAAACGTTTTAGAAAAGCGAAAAGTCTGGCCTCTTACTTGCATTTCGGACTTTTGTTGATCCTTTTGTGTTTGTTGATTTTGAGGCTTCAATTTCTGCTCGTTTTTCTCGTTGTTCTCACCTTAAATGGTTAGTTTTTAAAAGTTACATTGATTGACTTTTCCTCAAACCTTTCTTTTGGCTTTTCGGCTCATTCTTTGAGATGGATCCCTCCAAAACCTTCCAATAATCAACACTCAACTCTTTCGAAGTGCCCGGATACAATTTCCCGTTCCATTTGTCAAGGATCTAAAGATTAGAATCAAATATAATACTCTATCTACTATACATTTTATTTCTATTTTAATTTCCCCACCTTCTTAGCGCTTGCCTCATCTTGAAACATGGCGATACAGGTAGCAACAGGACCGGCCAACTTTACAGTGACACTAAACTTTACATAAAGCTACCGTAAATTCGTCTTTGGTATCAAAAAATAGCGCTGAATTTCAGCTATTTTTTGATACCAAAGCCTGCATTGTAGCATAAACCAGTGTCGAGAAAAACTCGTTCAAAGCTAGACTACGCAACGCTCCGCACCGTCATTATGGCGGTGGGGTACTATTACAGTATTTACGGTAGCTACTTTTTAAACTTCCGGCTAAAATTACATTATTTATCAGGTGCTCCCATAATTGTTTGTCATCTTGTAGAGCCTTTATTCTATGCTATCCAAATGTTATTCGCTTTATTTACTGCTGGACGAAAGAGATGACATTGATGAAATTTTACGAAGGCCAAAATTGGGAATGTGCAACAAATTAACGATCGATTGGAGTTCTTATCTTCGGGAGACATGCGCCGATTCCCTTCTTCATCAACTTTGCGGGGATAACATTCACATGTACCATATAAAACATGGCTATACAGGTGGCAACAGGACCGGCCAACTTTACAGTGACACTAAGCTTTACATAAAGCTACCGTAAATTCGTCTTTGGTATCAAAAAATAGCGCTGAATTTCAGCTATTTTTTGATACCAAAGCCTGCATTATAGCATAAACCAGTGTCGAGAAAAACTCGTTCATAGCTAGACTACGCAACGCTCCGCACCGTCATTATGGCGGTGGGTTATTACAGTAGTTATCTATGATACTAGGACGAAATTGATTGTGAGTACGGTAGCTGGGTACGGTAGATAGAGAGAAAGCTCGCTACGTTAGTGAAGTTACAGTAGCTAGGGTCAACGGTAGCTGTCTATAAGCCACTGAATACGGTAGCTGAGGCTTAGAAACCATAGTACTATAGTACCTGTTGCCCAGCAGTTTCTTGCTGTCCTCGAAGATCCACTTCGTCACATCAGCCGGTGTGACATTGACGGGCAATCCACGAATGAAAACCTTTTTCTTGTCGGCGACAAAAGTTGGCGCGGCTGCCGGAGTGCCTTTCGCTTGACCTTAAATACAAAAAAGAAACCTTTAAATGGAAATTTGTAAAACCATCAGCTGCTTGTTTCCTCGAATCAAAGCTTGCTTGTTCGACTTTAAGCTTTTTGCCGGTTGAGAGAAACTCTTGGCCGTCGAAATTCTTGATGAACTAAAGGATCTCCATTCGGATTATTGAGTTAACTTTTGAAGACTATTTTTTTGAGTTAACTAACTACTTTATTGAATCCCTGTAATTGCTCTTTCCAAACCCACTTTCGTCGCAGATTCCTTTGTGGAAAAAGTAACTAAACAAGTGCCGCGAGTGGCCGGCGTGTAGAGTTGGATTCTAGAATTGTTTTGAATAGGATTTCTAGATGAATTTGATTGCTATCTATCAAATCTATGGAATCTATAGATCTATGGATTCTATAGAATACATAGAATCCATAGAATCCATAGATCTATAGAATCCATAGAATCTATAGAATCCATCGAATCCATCGAATCCATCGAATTTCCCACCTAACATCCTCCTTTTCCGGATCGATATTGACAAGTCGAACGAGATGCATGATTTGTTTCTCTTTGGCGCTCTCCGGCAAACCGCGAATGAAAGCCGCTTTCCAGTTCATTGTACGCTAAATAAAGGCTGGATAAGTCTTGTAAGATATAGATTTGATTATTTATAGATATCTTCTATATATAAAGAAGCTAAGACGTCTGTCTATCTATGCGTACTACTCCTCCGCGCCATCGCGCCATCGCGCCATTAGCGCCCAGTGGGCAATTTCAAATAATTTATAGTTAGTTTGGCTTACAATTTCATGTAGTTATGCAACATGTTTTTAAATTTTTAAAAAACTAAAAGTATCGACGCGGCGTGGAGTCGAACCCGGGTCGCGTGGGCTAGAGACAAGTGCGCTCGCCCTGCGGAGTGATTAAAGCCGAGTGGCCGAGTGGTTAACCACAAATGGCCAGTGGTTAACCACAAATGGCCAGTGGTTAACCACAAATGGCCGAGTGGTTAACGCGCGCGTCTTTCAAACAAACGGAAGAGAGAGGTCACGAGTTCGCCTCCTCTTGCCATCAATTCTTTTACTTTTTGTTCTAAAAATTTTTTTTTGCTGCGAAGCTTCTGGTAAATATATGTGACTTCCCTTTACGAACTAAGGGCTTTTTGAAAGACAACGGACTTGGTGCCAAAAGAAAAAAAATGTGCAAAATATATGAATTTTATATCGTAAAACAAATCTCAGCTCATTTGGTTCGGTAGGTCTAAAAATGCCTTAAAATGACTAGAAAAAAATATACCACTAAACCAAAAAAGTTGTGTAATGGCTCATTTTGTTGCAAATTTTACGTCGATTCTTAAAGTGAAGCTACATCTGACATTTCACTTTTGTAAGTGGGAGCAATAGCGCGCGGATTGATTTCAGGGAGATCTCCTAACTGAGAACAAAGGACTGAAGTTAGGTCCGCGCAATTTTTCTGCCACTTTTAACCAATAAATGCACCATAGCTACCACCTTGAGTCACCGGAAATCTTTTTAAAATTTGACCCTAAGTGGATTTTGGGGGATTTTGGGACACCCTGTATAGATGTCGTAGCCGTTTACGAAATTCAGCCGTTGAGGAATCACTCGTTAACGGCTAGGCGATTACGAATCCTTCGTTAGTGGCTAGCCGTTAACGAATGATTCGTAATCGGAAACCTTTCCCTGAAACCAGTCCGCGTGCTATTTCTCCCACTTACAAAAGTGAAATGTCAGATGTAGCTTCACTTGAAGAATCGACGTAAAATTTGCAACAGAATGAGCCATTACACAACTTTTTTGGTTTAGTGGTATATTTGAGAAATCATTCATTAGTGGCTAGCCGATTACGAATCATTCGTTAGCGGCTGAATTTCGTAAACGGCTACGATATATAGATAAATTCTATTAGGTTGATGCATAAGTCTTTTCGTTCCTTTTTGTCTGCCGTTTCAAGCCAACAAATGCACCAATTAAACTACGGTTGATTTCATTAGAAAAACCAATTATTTTTCTGCAAAATAACATTAAAACGGGTTTAAAAATATTTTATGCCTGGATTTTCTTGAGAGTATGAAGTCGGGTAGTCAAAAAGGGCTAACTCGATGATGCGGTTTAGACACCTTAGCTAAAGAAAACCTATCTTCGTGTCAATAGATAAAAGATAGAGAAAAAAAAGTTTGATATTTCGCCAAAATTTCAGAGAAATTCATTCAGCCAATTTTTCCGTAGAGTTTTTTATAGATTTTTACGAAAAAGGCGTTTTTCACTCTCGAATTTGCTTGAAAATGAACCGAAATTCATTTAAAAAGATGCAAATTGAACAAAAAAACACTTTTTTTATAGAGCAAACTATAGATTAATTGGTGAATTTGTTACTTTTTAACAGAAGTACGAAAAAAATGAAAAAGACTTATGCATCAACCTAATAAATATCTAACTGAACAATTTTGCTTTTGCTCAACATTCATCTAAAAGAAGCAGAATGGGGCAAACTTTGTTAGTTGATTTACTCAAATTCTGGTTTTAGATGACAAAATCTTCATTTGATTAACTGAATAGCCTAAAATATAAGCTTATTTTCATATTTGATTTCCCCATTACCCCGCTTGTTTGCATCGAACTCTCCAATTTTCGCTCAAGCTCGGCAATTTTCGCCTCCATCACTGGATCGACTCTCGGCGTTTGTGGCTGCTGTTGCTTGTGTTGCATTTCCAGGATTTTAGCCTGTAAAATAGATTTTGTATAGTAAGAAATGTTAGAATTGATCAAAATATTATCGAAATCTTTATTTACTTCCAACTCCTCCACTCGGCGATCCTTGCTCTGATTCTCGCGGCTCAAGCGATTCCTGAAAGTTCGACCAATCGTACCTTAGAGCAGCTTTTACGTACACTTTAGAAAATCCTCTAGAGTCCTGGATCTTAGTCGAGAGGTCGAGGGTTCAATCCCGGGCCAGATTTTTGATTCTTTTTCATATATATGGATTTTCCCCTACAATTAGGGCTTACAAGTTGTGCTTTTTTTAATTTTTTGTATTTTGTGAAAACCACATTGTGAACTTTATTCACAATTCACAATGTAAACTTTAAATCCTGCTATAACTCTTGTTTATCTTCGAAATCTTACTGTAGCGCAATGATCTGCACATTGAGATCCGTGATTTGTCTCTGATTCACTTGCTGGTGAACTTGGTTTTGAAGGTAATTGATTTGCGCAAGCGTCTCTTGAGCCTAAAATAGAAAACATTTGGAATTTGCGAACGTTTTCTTTCTTTTCTTTTACCCTTTGTCTTTGCATTGCCTCACTCTCCAATTTGAGGTTCCCTAAAGAATTCTTCAGCTCGTTGAGAGTTCCCGATGTTACATCTTGTTCTCGAGTCTGAAAGGGAACTGTTTAGCTGAAAAGTTGACGCATTACAATCATCTTTGTTTTGCAAAAAGGTGGCTATTTCAGAAAACTATCGTAATCTGATGCAGAATTTGGGTTTAATTTTGATCCAAATCGATTTTTACTCTTGATTTCTTCTACTCTAGCTCAAAATTTAGTAAATTCGACAAAATCTAAAGGAAAGACTGTGAAAGATTAATGCAATAAAAATAAGTAAAATAAAGTAAAGCAATTGTTTTCCTTTCTTCAAGATTAATATGCAGCATTTCATACGTAACTTTCCAACATTAACTTCCCAAATTGTCCACCTTTTCGAAAGCAAAAGTTAAACTTTCAACGTTAGCGCATTGATCTTTGATTTGATATTTGATATTGAGAAATTTGAGGGATTGAGAAATTAAGTGTCAAGATTTTGATTTGATCTTTCAAGATTTTGATTCGATCTTTCAAGATTTCGATTTGATCTTTCAAGATTTTGTTTACAGTCTCCCCATTCCCACCTGAGCGCTCTGTCTCGCCCTCAACTTCAATAATTCAGTCTTTTGTTGCTCGAATTGCTCGATTGCTCCTAAAAAACCAGGTTCGCTGAAAAAAAAGATCATTTTTTACCCAAAAGAGAGAAATTGATGGCTCTTGTTGTGATTAACGTGCGACATTTCGGGCAGGTTTTCCTGGAAATTTGGAATTGAGGATGTAAAAGTGAGAAGAGAGGCAATTGTTTCCGGTAATAGCTTGAACCAGAGTGTTGAAGCTTGAACCAGCTTGAACCGGTAATAGCTTGAACCTTAAAAAACTATTCAAATCCGGATCTTATATGCTAATTTTCATTTTTAAATTGAAAAATTTTCTTAATAAAGGTCTTTTCCCAGTTTATACGATTTTTATCATCAGATTGTTAGCAGAAAATGAAAAAAAAAAAGATTAAATAGAGTCGAGTGGTTTAGAAAGTGGGTTTACCTAAAGTACGGTAAAAAAACGACAAATGGAGCGCGAGATAGGAATGCAATGCTTCATCATGCTGCCCAATCTACTGTTAGTGAAAATTTTGAACGAAATTTCCGGATCTGAATCGGGTTTTTTTTCGGATCCCAATTTGAAAGTCTTCCAGATACTGGATAGTAAATTATCCATAAAATAAAAGCCTGGGTTCTCTGATTCCGGATCAAAGCTAATCAAGCATCAAGGCTAGAGGTGTCCGGAAGTTTCGAGGATCTCTGCTTCTGCACACCTCTAGCCTTGATGCTTGATTAGCTTTGATTAGCTTTGATTAGCTTTAATTAGATTAGATTAGTTTTCTTTTAGAATAGATGCTTTTTAGAAGACGCAGCCTTTCACTCGATATACGGTAATTAAAGGTATTGAATGAAAGATCTCGATACCCTTCCCAACTCACATAGTGCCCATCCCCTTATTGGAGCAATCCTCGCAAACCGAGTGCCCACAATTCATCGTCATCGGTCGTTTGTAGACATGATCGACTGAAGAATTGCTTTTTCTTTTATGGGGTTGGGGAGAATGAGTCGGCGCCAAACTTTAAAGGGACTTTTTGCACACATAAAGCCTTCTTTAAACATACGTTTGGTTTCATCAAAAGGATCCACTATTTGTCTACAAAATCATTTTTGAGAGATTCCACAAAGCTTTTCTTTCGTGGAGTTTATGAACTTCCAAACGCAGCTGGTTAAAATGGCAAAGAGTCCGACTCATCATTTGAACAGTTTCTTTCACATAAACCTTCTTTGGTGTTTATATAAAAAAGATAGAGCACATTCAATTACTTAAGTTGCCAAATTTGCAGGAAGATCCCACCAATGGTTTTTTCTAGATCACAGTTTGTAGTTTTTGTGAAAAAATGGCTTTTTCTTGAGCGGAGGCGCTGTTTGAATTTTCTTTTAAATGTGATTTTGTAGAGAATTAGTTAACCATTCTACTCATATCAAACGCATATTATTTGACGAAGTCGAATAGAAGTTTTAGACATTTTTTTCATTTTCAGCGCCGACTCATTCTCCCCAACCCAATAGTAATGAAAATCAGATATGTCTTCATTTTAAACTAAGAATGCTGCAAAGTCATTGTTTTTGTCTTACTACGGTAATGTTCAAAGGTATTGATTAGATTTTAAGCTAATAACAGCTAGG